CAAAGCATAAGTAGATTTGAATTTTTGTTATTGTTGATATGATTACAGAACAAGCTATCACTTTGAATCTTTGAAATCAGAACTTTGGTCAGGCCATTGATTGAACTTTTGATTGGATTTTTTTTGAGGTTTGTATTGAATTTGTACTTTAGCTTAAAGATATGAATTGACCCTTCAAGGTATATTTTACAAAGGGCCTGATTTGTATCATTATTGGATATCTGGTGCCTATTCTATCTGACTTCAGAGGCTAGATTATTACATATGTATGGTGATATTCTCACACAAATCCTTTGGAAGCGATCTTTTAGCAATAGAATATTGGTGGCCTTCACTTGGTGGCAGCATTAGGTGTTCATCTCGCTCAACTCAAGGTTTCAGAGAGAGAAAAAGGTCTGAACAAATAAGCTTCTCAATTTCCAGTTCCAGCAACGCGAGAAAATTGGGAGTGGTCGAGTTAGTAACACGTCAAGACACGCCACACTGAGACTTGGGTGTCCTGCCCAGTTAGTTCGCGGTACGATTTGGTGCACGGATCTTGGTTCTCATGATCACGCTCTGCTGGACGGGACGGCAACTCTAGTGGAAGATTCTGTGGGCATTTGACTGGGTAGGTTATATCTTAACATGAGAACCGACCAAATGGTTTCAAGTATTATCATTTTAACATGGATATGGATTGCAAGAATATGATCTACTCTTCAGGAATCTCGGTCTCTCCCTCGTTGATGCTGTCAATAACATCATGAGCAGGTTGGCCATCAACAGTGCATCCAACACTTTGAGCAGTACCAAGGATCTCCTTAACAGTTCCAGACAAGTTTCGTGCCAAAGACTTGAATCTCATCTTTCGAGCAATCTCAATAACTTCATCAAGGCTCAAGTTACCGGTGTGTTTGATGTTCTTCTCTTTCTTACGGTCACGAGGGGGTTCTGGTTCCAACAAAGTTTCACGTTAGTGACTGTCAAGAACACACGAAGTGGCCATATAAGGTGAAGAGCTGCTCACCCTTGAGGGCCTTGATGACTAAGGAAGAGGCGGAAGGAACGACGGCGACAGTAGCTTGTCTGTTCTGGATGGTCAATTGAACAGTGACTCGAAGTCCCTTCCAATCACCGGTGGCCTTGGCAATATCTTCACCCACTTTCTTGGGAGACTGGGAAATGTATCTAATGATCAGTTTGTGAACCATAGGTCCATGGCGAGCTGATTGATGTGTGACTTACAAGACCCAAGGGACCGATTTTGGGAGCAAGAGCTGAGGAAGCACCGACTTCACCTCCGGTGGCTCTCAAATAGATAATCTTGATCTCATTGGGGTCGATCTGATAGATTGAGAAGTGAAGATAATGAGGGAATCGTTAAGATGGAAAGTCATGATAAATCTGAATGAATGATAATCATTACTTTTGGTGGCATGATGAAGCTTTAAGTTTTGTTGATAGTGAACGTTTGGGGCCTCCGGTATGTTGGTACCTTATTCGTCACGTGTGTTGATGGTAAGGGTAAGGATTGGGTGGCAATGCTGAGCGGGAGTGCAAGTCTTGGATGAATGAAAATTCTGAAACGAAACCTAATTAGACCTAACTCACTTGAGAGTATCACAGTTCAACCGGTCGACTACAAATTTCACTTCAACTTTCCACCGATCATTCCTTCCTCAGCAAGTCTTCTCATCCACTCACTTCTCAACCAAAGGATTCAATCACGGTCAATCATTATGTCCGAATCACTTCTCTTCAAGGGTACCCTCTCCGGTCACGGTGGTTGGATCACCGCCATTGCCACCTCGGCTGAAAACCCGTAAGCAAAAACTATAGTGTCTCATGCATTCTTACTCAAGGCTGACTTGAGCCTTGAATCCATTTCTCTCCTAGCGACATGATCTTGACTGCTTCTAGGGGTTTGTGACGCTTCCATCAACCTTGTTTCCTCCTTTCTTTTCAAACTATATCTCCCCCGATGCGTATCCGGTCATCTGCGCCGTATCACCACTCCATTATTATTTCATAATATGGGCTGCTGCCATTGGCAGGACATCTGCATTTCATATCTGAATTTGCGGAGGAAGAGCTCATTTAAATTTGATTCCCCCTTTATTGCTTCACATCGTTCTATCATGTCAACCCAGATAAGACGATCATTGTTTGGCAGTTGAGCCGGGAAGACGTACGTTTGGTCTTTTCAACCAAAAATTTCTTTTGCTTGATCAAGTTTTCCCGCCTCAGGGCCTCGTAGTGCTCAGGGCTTTTGACTTGGCATTTTTCCACTCACAATATCTTTCGAATCTTTCTAGGGTAACTACGGATTCCCTAAACGAATCTTACACGGACACAACCACTTCGTGTCTGACATTGTCATCTCTTCTGACGGTCAATGTAAGCTTTCTTTTTTTGACTATGGATAGACGTGAGCTCTGATCAACCATTCTGATCAACCATTTGCCTGCTACAGTCGCTCTCTCCTCTTCGTGGGACAAGACCCTCAGACTTTGGGACCTTAACACCGGTTTGACCACCCGAAAATTCGTTGGCCACGAAAAGGATGTCCTCTCTGTTTCCTTCAGTGCTGACAACCGACAGGTCAGCAGACACGTGCCTATTACAATCCGTGATTAGTCCTGATGATGCCCAATTCACCTAGATTGTTTCTGGCTCCCGAGACCGTACCATCAAACTCTGGAACACCCTCGGTGAATGCAAATACGAGATCAAAGACGAAGGTCACGCTGGTTGGGTGTCTTGCGTCCGATTCTCACCCAACCCCATGAACCCAGTCATTGTATCCGCTGGATGGGACAAAGTTGTCAAGGTGAGTCACCCAACATTTCCCTTCCCGTGTGCTGCGTTTGAGTGATGAAGCAACAATGATATATTTGCTACTTCGGAGGGCCATCTACCCGATGAGAACACCTAAATATCCACCAAGATCTCTGACCCACGCAGCACAGACGTTTTTATCGCTCCCTCCTGATCTGATGCTAATCTGGTTCTTTGTCCGCATTGATAGGTCTGGGAGCTTTCCAAGTGCAAGTTACGTACTAACCACCACGGCCATACTGGTTACCTCAACACTGTCACCGTCTCCCCTGATGGATCTCTTTGTGCATCAGGTGGCAAGGACGGAGTGAGTCTTAATTCCGTTTCGGCTGCTTATCCTTTGCATGTGTAGCCCGCTAACGTTTGAACCTTTACAGATCACCATGCTCTGGGATCTTAATGAGGGCAAGCACCTCTACTCCCTCGAGGCCGGTGACATCATCAACGCCCTCACCTTCTCACCCAATCGATACTGGCTCTGTGCTGCTACTGCCTCTTGCATCAAGATCTTTGATCTTGAAAGCAAGAGCATCGTTGACGAGATCAAACCTGACTTCACAGATGTTGATTCCAAGAAGGCTAAGATTCCAGAGTGTACTTCATTGGCATGGAGCTCAGAAGGTGGTACCCTCTTTGCCGGTTACACCGATGATGTTGTTCGTGTTTACGCTGTTATGGCTTGAGAAATATATCAAAAAAACAATTCATGTTTTGCTTGTCTGTTTCCAATCCTGCCCTCGTGCCATTATTGCTTGACCTGATTGTGAGATCACTTCTCCCCAAATGCCCAATAGACTGACATCTAACCACTGCGCGTCCCCTCTGTCCAAAGCAACTTGATGAGTGTCGCAAGCTTCGCTGGCCCTACCAATCCCAAGGCCTTGGCGACACAGCAGGATATATTTTGTTCCAAGAGCCACTGCTACACCGCAAATTTCTCGGCTGCCAGGATCCCATTCTATTATGTCCCATGTCGTGGAATATTGAAGGACAGGGATCCAATCAATGGTCCGATGCCAGCCTTGAGGCCAGTCTACAGTTTCTATGTCACTGTTGGATTACACTTGAAAGATCACTTCAAAGATGTAACACCTTAAAAATCTTCGCACTAGAGCTTCTGGTATCAAATCGAGTGATATGCTGGAGGCCTTTTTGAAGCCCATTCTATCTTTGATTGCATTTCAGATGTTTATTCGATTCGTTTGAGTGCTCTGGTTACCTGACAAGAGAACCATACCATATTCATTAATGAAGTTTGACAATTATATTGCCAAACTCCCCCTGTGCTTTGGATGCAGGTATCAGTCAATTCAGAGTATTTTAGACATAAAAAACCATCGTCACTGTGTCTTTGTTAGTATAGTGGTCAGTACTCCCGCTTGTCACGCGGGCAACCGGGGTTCGAGTCCCCGACAGAGAGGCTATCTTTTGTCACATACATCGATTATTTCAATCATCCACTCGAATCACCGATCCATCGGCTTTGTTTTTGCACCGGCGTTGATCGAAATGAAGAATGACAAGGGATAATTGCGTTTGATTGTCACTCTAAGAAGTCCCATCAGTCAGTTTTTCAAGCCAACATAAAGACTTGTGGAACAAGACGCAGTCAAGCGTATATAGAAAAGGGGGCTTTTTGACTTGATGTGTTACACCATGAATGGCTGAAACATACGATTAAGGAAATGCAAGTAGTTTTTCCCTTGATGATGAAATAAGAGACCCTTGAACCCAATGAACAACATGAATGAAAAACGTCAAGATGTCTCAAAAGACACTCGCCCCCTGATTTGAATGATTCAACCTTCGACTCTAATCAATCCAAGAAGTACGCGCTGTCAAATGCAAAGGCCGATTCTTCGAAGTCCAGATAGGTCGATTGAGCTCGATGGTGCTCTGATTTTCATTACATTGACTTCCCGTGACCCATGATAGCTGATTAATATATACCGCAAGTCTAAGAACTACGCCGACAATTCTGGACCCTCGAAGAGTCGCATCCATCAAATCCTTACATCGTCAATCAAGGCCGGTGTGATCAGATCGAGCGAGACTGGCGACGGACACCGACATGATAAAAATCATCACTCTTCATTACTTCATCCAATGTCCTCAAGAATTTCAAAAATCGAATCAAAAGCTAACGAATCCGTTTCAAAAGAACGGCAAAAAAGTAGGCCTGCCTCAACAGTGAGTCGAACACTGGACCTTTTGCTTACTAGGCAAACGCTCTACCACTGAGCTACTAAGGCCATGGTTAAACGGGTCGAATGAAACAATTTCAAAGATCCAAAAACGTTTGTCATGTTGGTGTTTCGGAAGCAAATATGATTTCTTGTTGACGCAAGAGAATTTTGCAACGAGTTGTTGTTGAGAACGAGGCAAAGAGATAAGATCAATCTATGTTTTATAGTCTTCAGACAATATCGAGTTTTTGGCGGTTTTCCTATTCACATTTCATGACAACGCGACGGTGCGGCAGCGCAGTATGAAAGGGAATAAGTGACGCGATTGTGACATTTGACGGAGTGATTGATCGATGAAGATACACAGTGCATATTGGCGGATGGTGAAGATGTTGTTTGGTCACGTGTTTTTCGCCCTTCGGTGAAGTCAAGATGCTGCAATTATGAAGGTACACATTCTTTTCAAGAATGTAGATAATCCAAGGGGTGAGGTGGCAGTTCGTGTAAATAAAAGATTTCGATACCATACATTTTGAATAAACTCAAGTTCTCTCGATCCAAATTTCACTTAGCTGTATTCTGTGCTTTGGGCTCATCGCGGATCATCAATCATGCGCGGCTGAGGAGCAACTGTACTAAGTCAGATCATACACTCAATTGAAACGGAGGCGATCCGCCTCTTCGAGATCAACCCTGGCCTGTCATCCGTATCTTGAGGCCTATGATAGTGTGGTACTATTTGCCTATGAGATGATCGTCAAGTGAAGTGAGCAATTATAATAAACTCAGCTCGTCTGCTATGAGATATGCTTCTGTCGCTTGCTTGATTTCACATTGCCAGTCTCCTTTTCTTCTCTTCGGTTATTTCCTTTTCAGGTCTAAGGAGTTTTTGAGAGTTCGAGTCTATTGTTGAGTGACTAGTTAGCGCGTTGATAAAGATATACTCCTATCATAAACCGTGGTTTCTATCAAATGCTTGGGATGATGATAGTAACATCTTTCCTGATCTTCACTTTTCTCGGTTCAACGTAGGCTTTTTTTTATCTTTCTTTCCGGTTCACAATTCCCCATATGGGTCTAGCTCTTTCTTATCATTCAAATGTCTCTCACAGAATTTGTAGGCCAGTTTGGTACATGAATAGTACCTATCATCGTCCTAGTCCATCATCTATGAGTAGTGTTGTCGTCTTTGGTGCTTCTTATTGTGGTCCGTAAAAGGCTTTAACTTATCATCAAATTTTCTCATCCTCTCTTACTAAGTTTTTATTGATTTGCACAGACTCTACTCACGCACAGAAAGGCTATCCGTATTCATCAGGAAGGGTGTCAAATGGACTTGTTTGGCCAGAATACTTAGCACATCAACTCGATGCTCAACTCCATGATTATGCCTAGTGAGCTTCTTTCTCAAAATCTTTTATCTCCTCCACTGTGTAAGAAATATTAATCCAAGCATCTTTTAATCATTTTAGCGCAGGGGCGACAGCTGGACCGGGTAGTGTACCCGATACTGCTCAACAGATGCAGAAGTACATCTCAGATCTGCAGAGTGGAAATACTCGTCTTGGATTGGGTCGGGTGGTACATATTGTTTGGGTTGGAATTAATTCTATTAATAAGATCTGGCAGGATGGAGAAGGTCAAGCAGCTCTGGAAGTGGAGGTACAAAGAGTTCATCAACAGCTGAAATGGTTAACAAATCATCCATATTTGAAAAAGCAGATGTGAGTGATGGGGTTTTTTTCTATTCTAATCTAAAACTTAATTGAAAAGTCTCGATAGTAGGCGTTGATAAACAATAAAGAATGCTGACTGAATTTCACTGGTTGGGTTGGTATTTCATTAGGATTTTTCCTGAATTTGTCATCATCACCATTCCACCACTCGAACTGGTGCCAAATTCAGTTGAATTTGCTTCTCGGTCTACAAATCCATCAAGAGCTTTGCAGAGAGTCAAGTCTTTAACGAGTACTTACAATCAGGTCAGTAACACTCGCAGGTCTTCATGACTCATCGCTACCATGAACTTTTTTTGATAAATTTGGGTCGTGAAGACAAAAGTTAATTTTAGAAAACTTATTTCATTTTTTAACAGGGCTTGATGAGATTACAATCAGATGAGATTCGAGTACTGGATATTGTTCCCTTCTGGTCAGGCATTGCAAGTAATCCAAAAGAAGTAAGTTTTTTCGAGAATTCAATTTAAAGAATCTTTTGAAATCTTACATCCATTCTGACTTACATTGCAACAAATTTGAAAACAGTATGGATTTGCGTATGTCAAAACAGCGTGTCTAGACGGAGGCAAAGTGTGCCCTAATCCTATGGCATACATGTATTGGGTTAGCAATTATCAACATGATTATCTTATTGTAAATTTATCTGAAGGAAGAGAAACAAAGGTAGATTAACATACACCTCATGTCGTCATAGGATTCCTTGCACCCCACAACCAAGATGCATGAAATGATTGCAAAACAAGTGCATGGGTATTTAGCACAGATGGTGTAATTAATGTGAGTAGAATATATCAATCTCAATTTCAACTTTTATCTCTTGACTGACACTTGATTTCCTTTGGCCTTTCAAACTCCGTTTCCTATAATATGCTCTTAATAGAATTGATAACATACCTCAGTCTAATTGAAATGTGATAGATGTTTTATAATTGTGTATATCTATTTGTTAGATCACAATCTTTTGTTCATACCCAGATATCACTCTCTTTCTCAACAAGAAACTTGGAATAATTTCTGTTCGGATGAAGATCTTGTGCCAAGAGTTGGTTTAATCAGATATGTACATATAATTATCTAGCCATTGGGCTTCTTTTTGGAATTTGTACTAGATCTTCATGATGTCAATACTACCAAGTATTTCATTTTGTCTTACCAAGATACCCAGTAGCAGATAAAACTCCGGTGTTCAAGATGAATATCATTTGCACCCTCCTTGATATGATAGCTGAGATTAGTGACACTGTGCTGATGAAAAGACCGCACAAAACATCCCTGAATGATAAATTGAAGCTTTCTAGAGAACTTCAAAGATCCAGAACCCTGATATGTTATCCTTAATTTCAAAATATGTACCATCACAAAACTCGATGCATTTATATACACAAACTATATGCTCATATCTCATTAAGTACAAATAAACCAAACTCTTTAATTCCAACATACATCTTTTATTACAATAAAAAAAGCATAAACCCGACCCCCAAAACTCCCTCTAAGATTAAACCCATCTTGTTCCCAAAAATCCAAAAACAATTCAAGATAACAAGAAACCTCTGATAGTGATCATCGGTTCAAGATGAGTGACAATCTCTCTACTTTTACCCACCCCAACTCCTCCACCAATCAATTTCTTACTCCCGATCCCAACCCCAATTCCACCTTCTTCACTTTCATCACTGAAGTAATCCGTTTTATCATAAGCTTCTAATAAACCAGTCCCACTTCTAATAGGCAATTCATTTAATTTCACTTCAATATCATCTTCTTCTTCGGTTTCTTCATATGTCATTCTGCGGTTTCGATTTTGATATTCTTGTGTAATCGTATGATTTGTTTCGGATCGGGTCATTCTCATTGCTTCTCCTGCATTACAAATCTCTTGTACTCTTTTCATATCTAATCCAATATCTCCAAATAATTCTAATACATAACGTCTGGTCAATAATCTATATGGATAATTAGCTAAGATTCTAAGTGCTCTATGAAATAAAGCTGGATCTTGAAATACTTCTCGATGTTTGAGTTTAATCCTATTGATTATCAAGAAGAAAAATCATAAGTTAAAACAAATTAATCCCAATAACTTTGAAAAAAATCTACATACCTTGCAAGTGTTCTAGATGAATTATTAGCCAAAAGATGATTACTCAAATTAGCGATAGCGACCAAAATCGATCGTTGTAAATTAGACTGAAATTCACTATAGTAAATCAAATCAGGTAATGGTTTCTTTTTGATTCTCCATGTAGGATGTACAATGAATTCATCTAATCTTTCTGGTACACAGATTCCAGTAAGCGTTCCTAATGGGGTTTGAACTGATTTCCATCCTGAATCACTTAATAGTTCGGAGCCTTCTAAGGTTGAGGAAATCAACCCTAGAATATAACAACATGTTCTACAAAAAAATCAAAAGTCAATAGAAAGTATGCCGAGCTGTCTTTGTAAAATCATCTTCAGACTCAAGAAAACTCAAGAAAACTCACCCTCGAACAGAGAATACATTACTAGTTTCAGCAATTTCAGCTATCTCATCAATCACTCCCTCAGGTTCCAAAAAAGTTAAACCACCAGCAGATGATCCAATATTTCCTATTGCCCAAAGTGCTGTCTTTAACTCATTGATCACTTCTAAATCTGTTTCTTCTAGTCCATGTTTCCTGATAGTATCTAGAAAGGCTTGGAAATGTCCTTTGGATCTTAAAAGTTCTCTTCCTTCTTCTGTTTTCACGAGCTCGCCGTAGAAGTGAGGCGGTGGTGTTCCATCTGCACTGGCTCTAAAGTTGAATAAAGCGTTATGGTACATTGGCCTTGAGTTCTAACGAACACTTGATTATACCAACAAGAGCTCTTACATTAGTTCTTCATCTTCTTCATCTCTTGTCCCATCCGCATTCAACACCTTGGATAAATACATTTCCAGCTGTATCACATAGTCTCGATTGCGCTCCTTTTAGTGATACAGTGTCCAAAAGGAGTTGAATAGGTAAACTGTCAATAAATACCAACCATTACAAAAAAACGACTCTGACTAACTCTATACCATTCATCCATCTCTCGTTCAGTCCAATCGATTTCTTTCAGATACCTAGCCCCAACCGATGTAGAAAGAAATCTGAATAAAATATCAAATACATTGAAACATGTGAGCAAACTTTACATCTCAATTTGAACACATAAAACCCAATCAACCCAAAGAATCACAGACCTCAATAACAGAGGTGCACCCACATCACCCAAGTTTTCCAAAGCAGGTCTCATATTGACCACAGTTTCCAATACCTCTGTAGACCCAGCACAAGCTTCTTCCAATATTTCGACTGCTAA